AAAAAATTAAATTGAAACATTTTTAATTTATTAAAACTATTTTACCATTATAGATTCCAAAACTAATACAATATATGAAATGAAATTAATTCTAAAGAAGGATGATGTAAATGCTTTTTGCAGGTGCAACTCATCAGAATCAGATAAAGTTGTTTACATCCAAAAACTTGCCTATGTGTGCAGCGAAATAAGAAATTGGCAAAATGCCAAGACCCTTGCTGCGCGCTACTCGATCCAAAGATGGTGAAGGTATTGGAACAAAACTGCTCTTCGTAGGAGAATTTATTTTCGTTAAATTTTATTGTTAGCGTACCCACGCACAGAGAAAATTTTCTACTTTACTTCATTTTTTTAAATTCAGACTAGTGTTTACTAAATACAGTATTAAAGCAATATCATACAATATCATAAATAACAAAAAACTTCGCTTAAATATCCGATTTCGAATGATATGTTTGCCTAAGCTATTCGCTATAACTATGTAAAACAGTTATTAAAAATAATGCTGCCAAATATATGATTATTATCTTTGGTAAAATCTTAATAGTTTTTATTTATCTGTATTCGCACATTTTTAATTATTTTTTTTATCAATGAATTTTTCAGCAGCACAATCATGGACGATACAATTAACTAAATACATATATTAAATAAATGTGTTTCTACAAGTTTCTAATGAAATATACATTATAACTTAAAGGAAACTAACGGCTTCATTTTAAAAATTCCGGTACCTGAAACAATAATTATAATGATGTGACTATGTTTTGAAAACAGTTCAATCACATTTTGTTACAAAACAAAAGAAAATTAAAAATTTAGAAAATTTATTATTTATAGAATCGTTTGATGAAGATTAAAAATCTGTTCCAATAAAACAAAATACAGTGTAACACTTTTGACGTTATGAACTAAAGAAACTGCAATTTTAAATTTTTTTCTGTAGGTTTACTTTTTAAATGAAATGTTTATACATAATCGCCACGCGATGCGATTTCCTGAGCATTTTATTTTTTTAAAAATTTAATTTTTAAAAGAATCTCATTGAGTAATATGAATAGTAAATAATAAAACGATTTTTTTAATCATTTTGTTTTTAGTTTTTTTTAACGAGACAATTATTATTTTATTATTTTTTTCTTAACGAGACAATATCATTTTGTTTTTCATTTAACGAACAGCATGCTTTGTAAAAGGTATCATCTCACGCAAGTACAGTAATACATCATTAATTATCAAAAAGGAGAATAACGATTTAAATTTTTTCAGTGCAAACAAAAACGGTTTAATTTATAGAGAAATATATGAACCTTTTTTTAATAATATGAACTTTTTTCTACCATTAATATTTTATTAACTTTAATCATCTTGGTTACTTTAATTAAAAAAAAATTAAAACAATTATTAAGATAAAATCCTTCGAGTTTCTAATTGTACTAAAAACTGTCACGATAGTAAATTGCTTTTTTCTTCTTTCTTGATTGTGAGATAGAGATAGAATTTAACAAATAGTAAAATATAATCAGAGGACAGTAATATTTATGGCCATTATGGTTTTTGTTAAATTTCAACTTAAACGAATTAATCTAAGAACTAATCAATAAATAATTAGTTACAAAATTGAACGAATCGTTACGTTAGTTTTAAATTGCAAAGCTGCTTAAACAAATTTGAAATTATTTTTTCTTGGCTGATGTAGCTTTGCGTTGCAAAATAACTTCCCTAAAACAACCATGACAATAAATAACAAATATGAAAAAAGAAAAACAATTTAAAACTTGTCTAGCCACGGAAATGCAGACACTCGGGAGCAATTTTAAACTATCAACCGCTGCGGACAAACAACTTGAAAACATTGAACCATTTTTCAGTTTACGTTCTTTAACAGTAGTTATTCCTCCTTATCTCTGCACAAGTGGGTGGATTGAATAAAGTTAAAAAAGTGTGGAGAATGCGGAAGTTGAAAATAATTCGAGTTTATTTTTCATTCGGTTTCGCCATCCTTAAAAGAATGATCACGTTATTTATTTTCTTTTGAATTGCACGTCTTTTTTTCTTATTTTTTGCCATGGAAACAGGCAGACGATATCTAAGTATTGACACATGGCTGTGACGTAGCTTTTATTCTGTACGACTGGCATAATTCTTTTTATCGCTTTTATGATTAAATTTACTTCCCGACGGGTGGCATCAAGCAGGGACACGTCCTTGGCTTGTATTTTCTGTTTCTTTCCAAGCATATCTGTTTTCTCAACAGCTTTGAAACGTCAGCGGAGAATATTCATAAAATGATATTTTATTCAACCAGTAACCGTCAAATTATTTATGTACAAGCGTTGCGACTACAGCTATTTTCCTGACTCCATGGTAAATTAAGATTCAAACTAGATGAAGAATTTCGACAAATATTTTGTTTGGAGAGCAGCAACATTTAATTTTAATACTTAAATTACAAAATATGGACAAAAAATATTAAAAATTACTTAAGAATTCAATTTTAATTCATGCATTTCTTTGTGTGGAAATAAATAATAAAATGAAATTTATGAATGTAATAAACTGAATTTCAAATAAATTTCAAGTTTCCCTATTAAATTTTATCCTAGTAAAATAAAAGTCCCAATATAATTTTTACATATATCATTTACATTAATCATAATGTATTAAGCCGGAATACATTATAATATCTTACATTAATTTATCCGGTTAATTTTTATATGACTAGTTCTATACAATACATTTTATTTTAATCAATGATTAAAACATATTTTAATATTTAACATGTTAGAAATTAGCAAAAAATCAATCAGAATTACACTTTATTGAATTAATTTAAATGTAATTTAAAAGTTATTTCTGCATATCTTTTTTACTCAGCAAAATATTTCATGCGTAAAAACCTTTAAATAAATCAATTATGATATTAATTTTGAAACTTTATAATTGTCATAATTTTGTATAAAAAATATTTTAATTTTTTTAAATTTAAATTGATAACATAACTTAATGGTGCAGTTTATGATTATTATTGTGAAAGCCCATCGTTGTATCAGATGGTATAAAAACATACATAAAATTCTTTAATTATAAAAAAGTACTATGAGATATTGTAAATTGGTTATTTCAATAAAATATTTTATCAGTTGAAATCAGTAAACAGCTAATAATGTTTCTAAATTTCAATTTGTTATTTTTCTATACTTTAATTGATGACATTAACTCAAGGGAGTTCTTTTTGGTTGTTTTGCCCGTGAAGGTATCCAAACGGTGGACCAGTTGCGAAGCTTTCTAAGTTGCAATCCAGGTAAATTAATTCTTGCTTGACGCAAAAAGAAATCTTTATGACATTTGTGAAGTTTTTTAACCAAATAACTATTAAATCGAATTTATTCATAAAAAAAATCTAATTTTCACGGATATTAAATATTTTTAGGAATAAAAAAGATTATGAAGCCAACAGGCAACACCTGAGTGCCTTTATATATTAATTTCAAAGATTTAATATTTAAGCCATTAAAACAAGTGAGTTTATTTCAATAGTAATCATTCAACACATTATTTAAAAGTCTATTTTATAATAAGTTTTACGTTTAGTTGAATTTAAATAATAATTCGACTGATATTGATTTGTAAAAATCATTACACAACCTGTCAGGCATTTGTTAACAAGTGAAAAACTTTCAAACTAATCTTAAAAAATTAATTTTTGCATGTTTTAAAAAATACTTGATTTACGCTAGCATTTATAAATTAAGAAATCATATTTTAGAATGATGTTTATCAAAAAACAACAATTTACCAAATTATATAATATAAATTGCTTTTAAAGTTCATGATGCTATGCTCTAATAAATGTATCATATTATTTTAATCAAATAATCTAAATTATTTTATATAAATTCGTAATTACAGTATATACAAATAAAGAAGATTCAAATTTGATTTTAAATCAATCACTCCATTTTTTGTGGTAATTTTTGGAAGCGAGTTTATTCTGATCTTAAAAATAATATATAAGTTTAACAAATGTTAGAAGAACGTTATTTTAAAGTTGAGAAAATAATAAACCAATAATAAGTTTGAAATTAATATTTTTAGAGTAAAAAGTTGTAAAAATAATTTTGAGCGCACGTGAATTAAACAGCTTGTTGCAGAAATATTAGTATACAAACTCATTTATATTAAAGGTTTTAAATTCGAAACCCTTTCGAAAGAGTATTTATACTGTTTATTTAAAAAAAAATCATAAACTATAACAAACGGCAATAAAAAAGTTCGTTATTTTAATGGAATATTTTTAAGTTTATCTCTTTAGTTGGTTATTTGCATTATCTCTTATTCAAGAAAACTAACACTAAAAATTAATTTATTTTTTCTAACATACTTGTTATTTATGATTACTAGATCATTATCGATCATTATAACACATTTTAGTTATGTATAATAACCAGTTATTTTTAATAAATCGAATCCTCACACTAATATATGCATAAAATTATACTAATATAAGCATAATTTTGTATTATACAAAATAAAAATTCAAATAATTAGTTATTCATCGCGCGATTATACTAAAAAACGAATTAAGTTTTGGAATTATAACGAAACAAGTATAATTTTATATAGATGACATAAGATATACTCGAGGCAATATATTTCACTTTATTTTTCAGCAAAAAAAAAGGAAGAAAAAAAAAAACAATTTGCAGATGACACATCTGAATCGCTAATATCAAATAGTTCGGTAATTAAAAATATATATACCAAGAACTGAACGAAAAAATAACAAATTCAAGCTTTATCGAAGGGGCGTGGCTAGTAAACAAACATCCACTTTTATCGCAAACGATTATCACGCGTTTCCTAGAAAGCTAAAAGCAACAAATGCACGTTGACATCGTTTTCTTTAACCAAAAAACAACGACCGTAATTTAAATTCGCGAAAAATGAATAAAATAACTACAAAATTAAAAAAAAAAAATAATAATAATAATAATTACCCGTTATGAGTTTTTGCTCCACAACTATATCCTCACAACTACTAGTTTCGGTGGTAGATCCGCTCTTATCCGATAGGTCATCATCCCTTCGAATTTTTTTCCAGGAATACTGACCACAGTCCAATGGCATTTCTGCCACGAAATCAAAGTTCCATTTTTGCTTATTTTTTTCATACTGTTGTAGTGTCTCTTTCTCGAGATGAGTCCGCAGTTCTTCGGGATCGGGTATCCCAAACAAACATCTTTTTACTGACCGTACTGGCCATCGGGCATTTGTCCTGGGGGTGGGGCCTGATAGGGCCCCCACAGCAGTAACATCACCCATGTTTCAAAACATCAGAGACAAAACTGAGATAAGGACCGCACCGCACAGAAATCACCATCAAAATGATGCTTTCGAGAGCCGTGCAGCTTAGATGAACGATCTCTCTCTCGTAAACACGCGGAGTAAAGGGGGACGCGGGGAGAGATTCTTTTTTTATTATTCCTTTTACATCTCTCCAGCTTTCTACTTCTTTTTTTTTTAGCTTTTTTTTCTTCTCTCATTTGCTCAGCGTGTTGTTCTATGCTGCAGCTCGCTTTTTTTTGTTGTTTTGTTTGAAGCTGATTTTCTCTTTTTGTGGTTTGTTATGAAGGGTTGCTGTATGCAGGTAGTTACGTCACATACTCCGGGAAGTTTGGCGATATTATTAGACTTTGATTCCTAACTTGGCTAGATTTGTAGTTCTTAAAAACTGAAATAACTTTTCTTTTCACAATTGATTACATGAACCTTTTACTGAATATATAATTGATGTAACATTCCAAGTACATTGTTTCTTAGGTTGATCATTAAAGCACCATCAATACTTTTTTTTTACAATAATAAGCATTAAAATAAATCTAAAATGAGTACAATACAATAACTTTGATTTAAACTTTCAATAGACTGAATTTTGTAGAAATGTTTTAGATAAACATTAAATATAAAATGTTATATTTACTTATTTATTTTATTATTATTGAAGTGATAACGTATCTATTAAATGTAGATGCAATAATGAATAAATGAAAAAAATTTGCTTATTTGGACTACTGTCAAACATTGCTTTTAAAGAGTTTATTTTTTTGCACTCATTTTTAAGAAGATTATAGAATTATTTTGAATCTTATGGGGAACGAACGAAAAAAAGAAAACTGCTATTATTTTTAAAAATATGACACTATTTTTCAGTTTTATGTTTTTTTTTTTTTTTCCAAAACAAAAGCTTTTGCGAATTTATTTAATAATTTCTTAAGTCTATGCACAGTGCAAAAAAAATTTCATATCAAATTGCGGTTAAAAATACCGGTACTCAAGGTGCCAGTACTTTTTACCATAAAATTTTACGGAACAAAAAACTGATATACCGTAACTTTTATACTGTAATATTTACTGTAAAATCACTGAGTCACTGTAATTAGTCAAATGTTACTATAAAAATTGCATTAACAAATTTTATGGTAGAAATGGATTTTATAGAGGCTGCACAAAGGATGCCGTAATTTGATCTGGAATTTTTTACTGCGTGTGGGACATTAAACACTTAAGAGCTTTTATACAGAATTCTTAAGTCCATGAATCTTGAATTACATTAATTGACATAGTATAACTTTTTGCCAGTTAAATGAATTTTATTAGCTATTTTTTATTAAACATTTTGCTCTGATTTCAAAAAAATAAATTTTTTTCTTTCGAATTTAATACTAAATCAAAAATTTTATACTTTGTATAAATATGAAATTCATTTTAATTAATATTTTTACAATAGTATTGCATATTTTATTCAAATCAAATTGCCATTTTTAAATATTTTTTATTGTATTTTTCTTCAGGACCAGCAGTAAGGCCAGGCAATAGGGTTTATTTAGATTTCATTTTCCTTCATAAAAACTTCCTTTTTTTTTTAAAGAAAAAAAGTCCAAATGCGAAATTTTCAGAAACAAAAGTCCAAATGCGAGATTTTCAGAAAAAAAAGTCCAAATACGAGATTTTCAGAAAAAAAAGTCCAAATGCGAGATTTTCAGAAAAAAAAAGTCCAAATGCGAACCTAAAAAATTTATTTTTAAGGACATGTTATATCTCAGAGCTTTAAAATTTTGAAGGAGTTAAGGAAATAGTTCTTCATATTTAGATTGCGATTGCTAAGAAATTCGGAGGGTTTTCGCAAGAAATAAACAAACATTAATTTCATTTTTTATCTTTTTAATAAATATATAAATAAAAAAAATCTAAGCCAACTGAACAATATTTGTTGTTATATTAGATTTCAGCATACATGATAAACCACTACATTTATCTTTTAAATAAACTCTTTTTCAACTGGTGTTTTCGAGAAAACGTTTATACATGGAGAAAAAAAGTATGATCAAAACTATCAGAATATGGTAAAATTTACCGTGTTTTTGGCTCTATGGGAACATCAAAAGTTCAGTAATTTTTACCGAAGTGCTTTGTTAATGATTTTTAAAAAATTTATAATTAAATATAGTTTAATGATAGGTGATGAAATGTGGTAACATTTGATAATTCTATTATGAAACCTTAAGGCATGGTATAAAAACCATTTATTTTGGTTAAATTTACTTTTCAGTTTCCTATTTTCTTTACTAAATTTATGTGTGGTAATAAGAACTATAATTTTAAAAACCAGAAATTCAAGTAAACCATATCTATTTTAACGGTAAAATTACCGACTGAATGGTTTAAATACCGTATATTTTTGTTTTTATTACCAGGATTATATCTATATTATGAATATAGGGAAAACATGGAAAATCATAAAGATTAATGAAAAGAGAAGAATAGAAATTATTAAAATAAAATAAAATAAAGTTATTAAAAAAAATATATGTTAAAAAGGCCGAAAACAAAACAAAAAAAATGAAAAGATATAATCTTTTCATCAGCTCACACGATTATATCCGCAAATTGGAGTGCTTTCTACAATTGTATCAATCTAGTCAAAGCAAAATATATCAATACATTAGTGTGAGGAGCACTCAAAAAAATCGTAATAATATAAAATAAAATTTAAATAGTAACAATAATTTAAAGTATTTTGCAAAAGTTTGAAATATAGAACACATATATGAATTTAAATGTTTCAAAATTCATTCTATTCTTAAACAAAGTAGGATTTAATTTTAATTTTCAAATTTCGCGAAGTGAGATAAAATCGCAAACTTTTAAGATTGTAAAATTAAATAGCAAGACTGTAGATAAGATCGTAAAATTAAATTGGTGAAAAGTATACGCAGCTACAGTGTTCAGATGAAACATTATGTGTTTTTAAAAATGTTCAAAAAATTTCAAAACAAAAGATATTAAATGCTTAATCTCTTGACTAGTTATTATGAGTCAGTGTTTTTTTTTCTCGTAGAACAAAAGGATTACCCTGGGGAACATTTTTTTTTTTGTTTTCTCTTGCATGAGATTTTTTTAAAACATGTTTTTAGATACTTTAGCATCGTTGATTTTAAATTTGCGATCGGTTTATCTCTCAAAGCGCCAGTTTTTTTTAAAAATGGAATTTAAAATTTTTTTTTGTCGAAATGTAACAGTTTGAATACCACATTATTTACGGCTATTTGACTGTTTTGTTCGAATATTTTAAAATAACAATTAAATAAATTGTTATTTAACCATTTTTTTGCGAGAAATTTCTAACAGTGTACAACTCTAAAGTAGGTATATAGTACTGCTATATCCTTACTGAGTGCAAGAAAAAAGAAATTAAAGTTATATTTTGAGACTAACTTTAGAAGCTTTAAATCATTTTGGATTAAATATTACTGACTCTAAAAATTGATGCAACAATCTTTTCATATGTGTGTGATTTATATATTTTTTTCCACTTTTTTTTCTTCTTGATTTATGTTTTCACTGTATGGATTAGAACTTGAAAGGCTTCCTTCCCTGGTGGCAAGAATTTCTATCTAAATTCTAAAAGGGGCCACAGGGTGTCCATGACGTTTACAGAGATTGCTCCCCGGTTTGATTAATACGTTTAGTCACACTATTTTACCTGGGTACTTAATTTCCGTAACTTCTGAACTTCATTATTTGGAACTATTTTTTAGTTGTTTATGTATTTGTTCCATCTACATCAAAATTTCGTAATCTGATGTTGAGTATATATAGCTTTTTTACCAAATATTATGGATTTCTTAAAACATTTTTTGGGATGATATTATTTAAAAATAATAAGTCTTAATTTGCATAGAATTTGTAAGTTATTTTGTCCAGCATACCGTTCAAATTTGTTGCATACTTAATATTGTACTTTAATGAAATATTATTGCATTTCTTAAACTATATTGCACGATACAAATATTCACCTTGGTTGCAAACATGCTTCAATTTAAGATTTTTAGCAACACATTAAGGTCTCATCAAATTTGTTTCTGAATGTGGTTAATCAATTAACTAATTTCTGCGTGAAAACAGAATTACTATAAATGATTTTTTTTAATAAATTATTTGTATCAAATAAGCTATTATCTGATTCGATTCGTCATTTTAACACTGATTCATATCAGATGCTCATTGATTGAAAAATAATTTCAATATATTAATGAATTAAAATCAAAAGGTTAGGCTGATTCATTAATCAGTTTATTCAAATAATTGTTCAGAATTCGCACTTATTCAAATCAAAATGACTTAATATTACTGTTTAATAACATTAATTGTAAACAAAACCGATTATATTTGGACTATTTATCATTCTAAGTTTGCTAACGCTTAACCTTTTGATGCAGATGGTATACCGATGTCCCTTTTATATATGTATATTTTTTTTTGACCCTCTGACTAAACACAAAAATATATTTTGGTATTTTTTATTTATAAGAAACAGTCTAATAGTTACTAAAAAAAATCTGTTAGATTATTGGGGTTAAATTTGTACTAAAACCCAAAAGAAGTAGATTGAAATTTTTTTTCCATTCATATTCAAAAATTTATCAATAATTAATTTTGTTACTTAAAGAAATTTTAATGATGAAAAACTGTTTCTCTTAGTTCTAAATAACTGCAAACAAGTGCAAATTTGAAAAATTATTGTTTGAAAGTTAGCCGTGTTTGTAAGATTATACCTTCAACGCAGAAAAATGCACTGGTGTCTCACGCTGTTTTTCATAATCATAAATTATTAAAATTCTAGAATAATAATTTTAACTTATTTTGACCTAAATTAATTTAAAATAATGAAAATGTATAAAAATTATGTTTAACAAAAATTTTGCGTGAAAGGATTAATAGTCTAATACAGGCATGTTGGATTTCCCAGGCTGTATTTTGACCATTATCAAAATTATTATTAGTTTATTATTATTATTCGCTTATTTTGTTAAAAACAAATATATAATAATAAAAATGCATAAATATATAAATTCAGAAAAAATACATAATGCAAAAATACTATAACATATTAATAAATGCATCCTTATTTAACTATTTTATTTATTTCATTTCTAGTTTTCAATATTTTATGTTTTGTAACTAGTTGCATTGTTAATTAAAACAAATTTTTATTTTAATAAAATTTGGTTTTTTATTATATTTTT